TTCTAGACGCTGATTAAGACATTTCGCGCGGCGCTGCAAACGCATTTTATTTTATTTTACGATTTTATTTTTTCCTCAACATACATACATATCTTTTCCTTCATTTTGGGCATTCACTGCGCTCTGATAACGAAGCCAATCAGCAATATGCCTCAATGGGTCGTGGCTAAGAATTGGAGTCGGCGACAGCGACAGCGACTGCGACTGCTACATAAAAATTATGACACTCAGGCTTGGGCTAGCATGAGTATCTATCCACTGTACTCTATGTATGTGTGTGTATTAAGATGCTGCCATGATAAAGCCCCAGTTGCAGCTACCCTTTGGCTGCTGTTGCACTGCTAGCGGCTTATCCGCTATGCCATCAGCGCAACATCATCATGATAGATAAGAGCTCGGAGCTCCGTTGGGTTGAGTTGAGTTCAGTTTTGGATTGCTTGGACTTTTATGACGTTGTCGCTGCAGGACGGCCACGAAATATGCAGAAACGAGGTGACAGCCAACAATTTTTATTTCTTCTCTTCTCTTCCCTGGTCGTTTTTCTGTTCTGTTTTTTTTTTATTTTTATTTTTTTGCTGTTGGCATCGAAACAAGAATTGCCGACCGAAACAGGTACATTGCCTGATTGTAAAATGTCAACGAGTGCTGGGGGAAAAAAATCACCAGCAACAGCGTCAGCGTCAGGAAAAGCAACAACAACAACAACAACAATAGCATGCAGAGGGGCAAGTGCAACAGCGACTCGGTCTCAATGTAATCCACAACAATCCAATTATTTGCTTTGCGAGCTTAAAAACTAAACAACAAAATTATGAGCAGGCCCAAAGAGGCAGACACACATACATTCATATACATATATAGTTAACACCGTTGCGGCGGTGGCAAACATATGTTTTGATGGCCCGATTGGAGCTACAAAAACTGGAATGGGGTACATACATATATATATATATATATCGGTATATGTTGAGTGTAGTTTAAATCTAAAATGGTCGCAACAAACGGTGCAGTAGCGACGGCAGACTATGTGACATGTGTTTTAGTGCTTATCAGATGCTTTGTTTTCAGTTTATTGCCATCAAAATCTGTGGATTTTGCCATTGCATACCACAAACAAATTTGCTAAAGACTAGCTAAGACTGTGGCTCATAGCTGGTTCTCAATCGGCAGGCGAAGGTCAACCCACAGACAGGGTGAAAAACTAATTATAATAAGAATAAAACATAGAAACAAAAGTGAACGTTGTTGAGTAAAATCTAGATTTTAATTAACATTATTCTCTGTGTGTATAGTAAGTCATTTAGTTTTCGCTTATAAGATTTTAGCATTTTTCCAAACATTTCCATAGTATAAACACTGGCTGAGAGCACTTTTAACTAGCTTGGGCTTTTTTTTAGCATAAAAAGTCAGTTTTTACAGCGCTTCTCCTTTTTTAGTGTTGTGAGTTGTGTTTATTGCATACAGTTTTTATTGTATATTACAAATTTTAAAATTATTTCCAACGACTTATTATCTTTCAAGCCCTTTTTTTGACTCTTTGACATAGGGACTCAATACACTTACAATCCAGCTTTGTAGATAGTCTGCCTAAAATAACAGGAGCTGGTAATGCTTTTCAGTCAGTTGCCAATATATAATTCCAGAAATAAAACTTGTACTCCTCAAATAAAATATGGATTTTTTTCTAAAAATATTTTATGTAATCAATCATTTATAAATATGTATCAAAATGTTAAACATTTGGAAAATTCTTTGGTAGGATGGGGGAAACTATTAACAAGAAATCGCATTAAAATGAAATACTTAGCAATAATTAAACATGTATATATCTGTTACTTTGTGTATATGTGTGGTATTAGTTGTATTGTAATAATTACTGTTGACCTGTGCTGACCGTACACATATACACAAATTCTATGGAAAAATGAAAAAAAAACGCAACAATTTCTATGGAACTCTATTGAAGTATTTTGTAATACATAATTAAGCTGTCAATAAATTCTGAGACTTCTTTTCAATTGATAAAGACTTGAATGTGTTTATATAAGGATACAATATAAAATCAATATTTGTATGTTGACATGATTTTGGTTTTGATTTTATATAATTTTGCGAAGAGCTTCATCATTTGGCTTGAAATGCTTATAATGCGTGCAGGAAAATATTTTTATTTTTGTTTGTATATATTATGTGCATAATGTATATGACTACTCTTATACATTTTACTGTAACACATAAAATCAATTTAATAAATCTATATAATCTGAAAAAAATATTGTGTTGAACCAACTAAGCAAACCCAAAACAGTAAATTTCTCTCCTATCGAGTTAGCTTTCTCTCAGTACTCAAAATGGATTTTAAACTAGTATAAATAAATCTTACGCATCATAAGAGTTTTAGTAATTTATACTTGATTAAAAAAAGTTCTATAGAAATGGTTTCTTGATGCAATTTGAATTTTAAGTATGCTCTTAAAATACAAACATAGAAACATTCTGACGAGAATTGAATTCGCATATAAGCAACTTTTACGTATTGAAATAATGAATTCACAATTTATGAACTCAAATCTGGAAATCCCCAGAATCTGAAGTATATATATATATATATATATATATATATATATAAATATACATGAGCATTTAATCTTTGGCACACTGAACTAAACTCTTTTCTCTTGGATTTTTTATTTTTGTTTTTTGAAATGAATACAATCGCCTCGTTTTCAATTTAACAAAACATGAATTTATTGCACTGATGCGTTGATGATTTTTCATGTGTAGAGAGTTTCGCGTACACCCACAAGTTTTGTCCCCATAGAGTTAACGGTGCATAGGGCATAAATTTTGGCCTGTTTCCCCCAACTCAACTTTGTCGACTCGGCGTTGTCATATTTGACATCAGCTCTATAAATCAACAAAGAATGTCGTTGTCATAGGGGCCAGCCAATGGGGGGTTGGGGGAGTTGTGGGGAGGGGGCGGGGGGTGATGGGGATGGGAAGAGAGGGGAATCGGGCTTGCTTTTGATTTGATTGATAATGCCTAGCAGCTAAGTTGCCGGCGGAATGAAACGAAATGAAACATTACGGCGGAATGGATTGTGGATTGGACTGTGTATGACATGACATGGCGGCCGCCAAGCGCATCCCCATGCCCCATGCACCACGCTGCCAGGGTATTTGTATGTGCGTATATGCGTATGTGTGTGTGTGTATTGGAAGCGGAGCGAAGCGGTTGCGTCGCGCTGCCATCCAGGGGGATCAGACACCATACGGCATGCAGCATGCGGCATGCAGCATGCAGCATCATCATCCGATCTGCGACTGCTACTCCGATTCCGCTATCTGCGACTGCGACTGCGGCTGCCACTGCGACTGCGTATATATTTTGAAATATGGAGCGGTAATAAATGTCACAAGAATCATTTGAGAGGAAATACGAGTGACGAGCGTGACTTGCATTGGATTTATGGTGCGTTCGAGCAGCAAGTTGAAAATTCATGTAGCTATGCTGTTTCTTCTTCTCTCTTTTCTTTAGGACCGCATGAATGATAAAGTTTTTGATTTACGCAGTGGCTGCTGGCAGGTGTTGTGGCCGCTAGAAAACTTTTTGACTAGCAGCGTGCAGCTTGTGAACAACAGTTGCAGCTTTAATTGCCATGCCCCAACAAATTGTAGGCGTTGCTGTGCACAATTGTAAAAGCCACTTCTTCGTCTGTGCGTGTGTGTGTGTGTAAGTTAAAAATTTTGTATAATTATAACCTGTTTTCATTTTGTTAATGCCGCTGCTGTCTCTGTTTTTAATACCCTGCAAAACTTTCAATTAAATAAAATGGGTATACTGAAGCTATGCAAATATGTTAAACAGGCAGAAAGAAGCATTTCCGCACATCAATTCACTGGCAGGACGACAAGCTGATAACAGACAAGGGCGTATCCAATACCTATAAATTATAAATATAAATATTTATTCCTTGTCAGGATGACAGGCCGTCCTATACAGATATAGCCCTAGCAGGTTAGCTTCCTTTACACAAATATAATTTTAGCATATTCATTTTATATAAAGCATAGACAAATTATTTCTGGGTTTTTAGAAGACCCCATTTGAATTTGAATTTTATCCCCTAAATATCTTTTTATGAATATGAAGCTCAAAAGTTGAAAAGGACTCATATTTTTTTTGTAAATAAGTACTAAAGGTGAGCGATTCGGTGTATTGTACAGGGTATCTGCGAGACTAGACAGCAGTTGCCCTATTGACTTCAGTTGTTGTTGTTGGTTTAATCTCGCGTGTTTGTTGCGGCGCGTGAAATCGCAGTGCACTGCAGCAGCAGTGGTGGCAACAGCTTCCTAGCTAGCAGCACCCACCCAAGCGCGAGTGTCAACCTGAAAAAAGCAACTGCAACGTGGCTTTGATTCTCTGGCACCGCTTCTGCAACTGCAATTGCAACTGCAACTGCAAGTTGCGAGTCTAGCGTGCGGCAGCGAGGTGAGCGAGCGTTCAAGTCGCGTTCTTGAGAAACAACGCGGATTGGGAATGCAAGCAGCAGAACACACGCAGGCCCATTCAGCCAGGCGGAGCTCCGTCAAAAGCTTGGCAGGCACAAGGGCAGGCAGTGGAGGTGGCTATGGTTAGTGTTGGTGTTGGTGTTGCTGGAGGAGCTGCCACTGTGGTGTCTTCGTTGCGGTCGCGGTCTGCTTCTTGCCGTCACCGTCACCGTCACCATCACCATCACCATCACCAACACAATCGAGTGTAGCCTTCGCACAGTGGTGCAAAACAATGCATGCATAAATATTTCATTTGCGTGTTTGGCAATCATTTTCTAGTCAATGTCTTGGCATGCAGTTCGAGGCTTTATCTGATTCATCCGACGACCCCCAGTTGCCGCTAAGCCCGCTGGCCCTAAACCCCTATATGCTTCCCAGAAGCTTTGGGCTGAACCATAACATTAGAGTCTGAGTGAAATTGGCATTCGGACTTAAGTACGACTTACCTATAATAATCGTTTTTGCAATAAATGTTGCCATCACGTGAGTAACATGAGGATTCCCGTTCCAGCGGCTGACGACATGCATAGCACTGCAAGCAGCTGGCGTGCCAGCGTTTTTCCACAGCGGAGAGGTAGAAACGATCCTGCAATAAAGCATCAATACAATAAATGACGGATGCACTTCTCTTATTTCCATTTCCATTTCCATTTATTATTATTATTATTATTATTGCATGCCAATCTAAAGGTTTTTCTGATCGGTTGATTAAAAATATATCTGCCGGCAGGTTTGTTAAATTAATTAAATTTATATTATTATTTTATTATTATTTTTGTGCTAAAATGCCATTAAAAATATATTCAAATATGTGCTACAGTGAAAAGCCTTTGCCTCATAATTTAAAACTATTCTTATTTAACCAATGATAAAAATTAATAAAATTATTGTTGTTAAAAATTCCTGTCTTATTTCTGTCTATTTTTCAATAACATTTGGATACCCTTTCAGTTCTGAGAGGAAATATTTGTACTAAGCCTTTCATTCATAGAAATATTAAATTTTCATTACATAGGTTATGAAAAAACAGTATATTTCTTTATTAACTATAAAGTTTAAAATAAATAATATTTATTTTTGTTTCAAAGCAACTTTTAACTACACTTTGAAATAAACATTTTAATAAAAGCTTTTAAAAAATTCGCTAACTTTTATGGTTCCCATTTAAGCTAATTACATACAATTATAATTTTCAAAAGATGGTTATGACAAACTACAGCTCTTACAGCTCATACACTCATCTAAATTACCTATTGAATTTTTTATAATATTTTTTAATATCAACCATTTCAGCTAAATAGCTCATGCAATCGACTACATCAATTTCAGGTAATCGACTACATAGTTTTCCTCGTATTATAAATAACTCTTGGGTTTTATTTTCCATGCTGTCGCGACGGCATTTCCTTGATTAAAGGACAACTCGCAGCTTACCTGTATTTGTCTGCCGCAGCCGGCGCAATCGTCTGGATTGCGGGTTACTTTGCTATCGTTGGTGGATTCGGGGCTGCTGGGTGGTCCAAAGGGCTCCGTTTTAAATGATATGCCCGATGTGGTCTCGTCACTGACCTCCGTGCAATCCGTGCGACTGCGGCTAATTGAGAATTTAGCTGCCGAGTCTTCGAATGTGGCGCGATCGGCGGTCTCATAGCTGTGAGAGGGAGCGGACTTAATAATTGTTAGCATGGGTATCGGGCAGTTAGTGTATAATTTACCTTCTATATGACTCGCTGCCGTATGCATTGCCAAATGGCTTTGTACTGTGATCACAAATATCTGGGCACGAGGATGTGGAGCATGTGCGAAACAATGAATGATTGTTATTTGCACCTGCAGCACTGCCGCATTGATTGCTCCCTTGATGTGCTACAGGTGGTGTTGGACTTTTCTCCCTTGCGCCGGGCCCAAGAAATCTTGCGCTCTGCTGCTGCAAATTCCAACAAGAAGAAATATGCTAATTTTAATAAGGCGGGCTTCATAAGAGGCGGGAAATGAGAGAAAGACAGTTCAAAATGGAGTTTCGCGGCCGAGTCGGATCATTGCCGTGTCACTCAGCTCTGAAATTTGTTCACAAATTTCAAAGGATGTGCCTGAACACAAAATGATGCATGAAATTTTCAATGGCGGCGAATGCAACTGCAAAAGTTAATTACAATTAGGCAACTTTTGCGTGTATTTTTTCCAAGAAAACGTTGCGCGACATTTGAAGACTACGAACATGTGAGGGAAACCCAGCAGCGACAGATGATGCCCGAAAGGCAACAACCATGCCCAGGCGTTCATTGAAAAAAATTATATATATATATATATATATATATAAATACAAAAAGCACAGAAAACAACAGACCATATAATATGGTGTACAATATTTTTTCGAGTACGAAGCGGAGCACAGACATCTTGTCGCACATTGCTAACAGACGAATTACACTGGTACATTCATAGATATATATATAGAATATATATATATACATATACTATGTATATAAGTATTTGTTTCTTTATGTTGCGACTCGCTACATATCATCGATGCTCCAGTTTACTTATTTTTTGATTAATTAGTTGAAAATAGATTTCAACTGTTTGGCTGCGTAACTTGGAAGGATGACAGGTTTTTCCCAACAAAATAAAAGAAAAAAATACCAAAACTTCACTTCACTTGTGCATTTTGCGTTTTGGCAGCCAACCGTTTTGCTGCCTCTGTGAAAAGTACAAGCATTTTGATGTATTTTTTTTTTTTGACTGTATTTTCTCTGTTTTGGGCACATTACCTTTGGGGGCAACACACATTTCTGTCTACCATTTTTGTTTCGATATTTCACCATTTCAGCCTGGCAAATATAGCTCAACTACACATAATCCCCAACTGACATGGCATAACCACATTTTTATGGCAACTGTGTTTTTGTGCAACATGATGACTTGATTTGCAGCCTGCAGCGTGGTCAAAGAGGGTGGAAATGTAACAACAACGGCAACTAGGCAGGACAATACATGTAATACATCTAAATCTTTCTAAGGAAACTGTTTTTTAATTGTGGGATTAATTTGTAATGCTCGGAAAAAAACTGAAAAAGATATGAAATCTATCTATCTATTTAATAACAAGAGATAAAAATACAGTCAAAAAATGTTTGCGTTCTAGATTTGGTGTTAAGAAGTAGTAGAATTAGGAATAAACTAACACGTGCCAGATTTTTGAAATATAAAACCTTCCTTTCAAAATATTGTAAATGAAAAGAACAGTTCTGCCTAAAGAAACAAAATTCGTTTGGACTTTTATGTTCTGAACATTGCATCTGCTATTGATTTAGTATTTTGAAAACGTTTTCCACTGCTGTATTAGTTTGATACATTCAAATATAGCTACTTCATATAAGATGTTGTGTAGTTTTTACTTTGCTCGTTGAATTTAAAATAACAACAAAGCGATGAGGTTTGGGATGTTAATCTCGTTGCTTCAGAAAAATATCAAGCGTGTTTTTTCACCAACGATTATTTTGTAATTCAAGTTTTTAGTCAAGGCCCATGTTTAAGCCGATTAATAATTAGAAGCGCTTATCATATGAAAATCATCTACGGCTGTCGCTTGTATATGTTTGTTGTGCCTTACATATGTTTATTTGGCTACTGCCTGCTATTCTACGAATTGCAATTTTGTTGCTCGATTTACATTGCGTATACGTACAATTGATTTACGGATTGGAAACTAAGTATACAAATCGATAAGCGAATTGTGAGAGTGAAAATAGTTTTCCTATACGACATTTCTTTGATATTGAGATCATAAATTGAAGTTCTTTTCAACTGATTGTTCGAATCGCCGTAGCTATCGATGCATGACAACAACACAAAACTGAAACTCAATTCAAGATCTGTGCGTTGTCTCTCTGTAATTGTATTTAAACCAAATGCATAAGGGGGTTCTCCTTATCGCCAATGGCGGCAATTGCGCGTAGCTCTTGCCGTCGCTGTCGCCGCCGCTGTCTGTGTCTCTGTCTGTTGGGAGCGCAGCTTTTGGTCTGGCATTGATAACATTTGTAACCCGAGCAAGAGATAAATCAAAAATTAATCAGCGCCCATAGACCTGATGCGGCTGCTGACTCAAAATTGTTGTGTAGATTGGAATACAAATGTGAAAATGTTTCACGAATTTGTCAAAGACTGTTCGGATCAGTCTATAGATGAGGTAATGGTTGCTCTTGTTGTTCTTGCTAAATTGCTATCTTCGCAATTTATCGAATTATCGATATGCTGTCACTTTCGATAACCTATCAATTAATTGAACTATCAATTTGTCGAGCTGTTTGATACTTTTCTTGACGGTTCGGATAAGTCTGTCAGCTGTGGGACTGTAGCAGTCTATCGACTTATCGATATTTTGTTGTTATCGATGCTTACCCAATGCATCACAGGGCGCTCCTCGGTGCAGACGCCCATGTGCGCCTTTTGGAATGACACGAGGTCTATTTCCAACGATGATGATATCTGTCTGGAGTATGTTTGTTGTTATTTTTGTTGGTATCCTGATTGGTCTTGGTTTGGCCCCAAGGCAAAATGTGATGGTTTTGGTCCGATAATCCAGTAAATTGTGCGTTTTTGCTTATAAGTAATAAGTTTGGCCTACGAGTTGCTTTTTAGTTGTGTCAAATCTTTTGCGAAATAATCAACAGAATTTATGAGCGAGTTTGTCGAACAAGAAAACACTTTGAACATCGATTTATAGATTTAACATTTTACGATGAGCTCTTTTATTTTTAATTTGGCCAGCAGATCCGATGTCGTCAACGAAGAAGCTTCCTCGTATATAATTTTTTTTAATTGATTTATTTATTTCACTAAATACGTAAGCATGTATGTATAATTTGTTGACTTTCTTATTTTCTTCTCATTTTTTTTGCTTCAGATTCAAGGTAATTTAAGGAACATTTGGATTTTAGGTGACGCACACACACTCACAGACACAATACACACACTTGACTTGTTTTGGGCGGCTGGCAGGTAAAGTTGACTTTGACTTTTATAGGCCGGTCGACGCGCGCGCTCCTGAACCGACACGGACTACGGATTCCGACTCAGTCTCAGACTCCCGAAGAGCACCGGTTGCAATGTCAACGACAGTCCCAGAGGTTCCCGAAATTAATTTATGACATTAATTTACGAGACAGCGCGAGAATGCCACTCCGAAAATTGAGTGGTAGAAGGTCCACTTGGTCGGTCCGGGTTCGGGTCAGTTCGGTCAGTCTCTGTGTGGTTCCTACGGCAGCCCCAGAGATGAATGCTACTGATAAGGCATTAGAGATGCGGATGCTCTGTTCTGTTCTGTTATGTTCTGTTTATTACCGATTGTATTTGTGTTCAATGTGATAACTAAATAAGACTTTGACTTTGGACGGTTGTCTCGCAGCTGCTGCCTTCTCCTTGTTGTTGATGTTGATATTGATGTTGTGTTCCGTTCCGTTATGTTCTGTTCAGTTCTGTTATTATGTGTTGAGTTGCCTTGCGTTGTCTTGTGCGAATTGCGAACAGACAAGCCCGAGGAATCCACAAAACCGACGGCGAACTGTGCAAGTGTTGCCTGCGTAATCAGCGAGGTTAAAGGTTACGTTACGCCCGCGGCAAACTCCAAACGACGGGGCCGGGCTCAATTCAATACAATTCGGTTATTTTATTTTGGATTTTGTTGTTGTTTTTTTTTTACGTTTTATATACTGTGTGGTTGTTGTTGTTTGTTATTGTACTATAAAAAACAAACGAAAATGCCGAGCCGAGCGACGTATCATCGGCGTCTGTTGTTGTTGCCACGCGATTTCAAACTGAGCGACGTGAACGTGAAATAAAAACTCGACTCTTTTCGTTCCGTTGCGTTGCGTTGCGTTGCGCTGCGAGTGAATTCGAAACATCCGCGCAGACAACCAGTCAGCGTAGCGGCGTTTTACTGTGTGTTTGTGCCTGCAGCGAATTCACAAGCTCAACTCAGAGGCACGCTCTTTCCGGCAGAACAACAACAGTGGCAGCCACAATCAACCACCTATAGCGGCCTCTCGCTTCCACTCGCCAGCAGTCTGACTGACACTGGCTCTCTCATTTCACCAGCTCTCTCGCTGGCTGTACGCAGCAAATGGCGGCGCTCTCAGCTGATTTGTGTTTGTATGACTTTCTCGCTCGCACGCACACAACGAGTGCCGTTTGAGGGCGTGGTGTTGTCGTCGTCGTCGTCGTCGTCGTCGTCAGTCAGCATGTTGACTCTGTATGCTTGGGCTGCCTGCTGCCTGCTGCTTCTGCTGGCCCCGCTGCTGTTGGAGAGTTGGGGGCACGATGGCTGGCTGCCAAACATGAATAATGCAACAGCAACAGCAACAGCAGCAGCAGCAGCAGAAGCGGCAGCGACAACGGCGGTGGCAGAAGCAGTCGCCGCCGATTGTGGCATCACTTGGAGACCCCATGACAGGAATTTTTCGCTCGCTCGCAAAAGATGTTCGCTGCTGGGCTGCCACAAGTAAGAAGACGTCGCTTGTCGTTGTTGTTGTAGTTGTTGTTGTTGTTATTGGGTTATGTATACGTGTATTTGTTTGTGTGTGTGTGTGTGTGCGTTCGCCTTGGGTCCTCTATGGCTGCCCTCCTTCCTTGCTGTTGCTGTTGGTGCAAAAAGCATAAAAAGTTTGAAGAAAATCGAGCAGGTCGTATTTATTTAGATTTTTTCTTTTCTTTGGTCATTTTATGATATATATTTTTTTATTATTCATTTTATTATTACTTTTTCTCCGATTTTGGTTTTTTTTGTTGGTTTTTTTTTGCGCTGCTTTAAAGTTTTTGTTGCTGTTGCTGTCGCTGTCGATTTCTTTTCTGCTACCTCGTCTTCATTGTTGTTGATTTTGTTGTATTGCTTTGATGGCTTATAGAACCAGTCAAGGGTTTGCGGACTGGGGCTTCAGCTTTTTGGCCGTAAGTATCGGATTCGCATTGTCAGCTTTTCTTATTCAGTTTATTTTTCTTTAAAAAAATATACACACAAAAAATGTACATATATTATACATACATATATACATATATACATATGTATTGTGTACATAAGGCCTGGAACCGTTGCGCTTATTTATTTAGCTTTAAGTGAAATCTTTTGAGCATTTGGCGAGTACTTTGCTAAATGTTTTATATAAACACGAGTGTTCTTTCGCAACTTAACGTAGGTAACAAGTCGAATTAACTTTTCAGCGTATTTTAATGGGGCTAAGGAAAAAAAGGAAAATTATGAAGGCCAGCTCTAGGAAAATGATTGAGAAGTGTATATATAACGCATACGCCATGTGGAGTAATATGAAGCATATGTTTACATTCTATTGCCGAAGATAAAACTTGGATATACATATGTTTGGATACTTCAGATATATTGCTAAGATTCAGATATCACGCCCTCGGGGATCAAAGCTAGCCAGAGTCAGTGAACATTCAAATTAAAGATGCTGGCAGACAACTAGTAATATTTTTAAAGCACAAACCACCTCCACTCTCACTTTTCGCCGCATCCTGCAAAAAGTCTGAAACATAAATAATATTTCCACAAACGTTTCGCATTTTTGTAGAAGAAATATTTGTGGTTCTTAATAAAAGTTTTTTTTTTATTGTATGTTGCTTTTAAGTTGAGAATTAAAATTTATGAAAAGAATCAAAAGCAACAGTAAGATTTATTTACTTGGAAAAAATGTAAATAATTATATAAATACCAAGTACTTAAACTCAACAAATAAATAACATTCTAACGCTTAAAGCCTCTCAAAGAAAAACTTTTGCTTCTTTTCCGATTCAATTTCATTGACATTATCAAAATGACTATAAAAAAAAAAAAACAATTGAAAACTGTCGACATTACCAATTAATCAGTCTAGTGATTCCTTTTAATTGATTGCCCACTAGAAGAAAACTAAATGGAGTTCAAGTATACTTGCCAGTTCTCTTAAGTTTTCTGCTCATGTCAGTTAAGAACTCTCTGATTCCGTTTGTCATTAAATAACTTGTTATGTGACTACATGGAAATGTGAAACTTTTCAATTATTCAGAAAAAAAAGAAAGAAGAAAAAATATATGCACCCGCTCATTCATATTTCCATATGAATATATTCATTCCTTTTGCACACAGTTTTATGTGCTGGCGAAAAAAAAAAAAAAAATGGAGAGAAGGATCAATTAAAAGAATTGATAGATGCTCTCAAGTTGACAATGTGATTTTTATGCCACAATGGCGCTGCCTCAGCTTCAGCTGGTTGCATGCTGCTGCTTCTGCTTTTGCATTGCTGCTCCTGATGCTCCTCCAGCTCCTGTTGACGTTGTCGTTGTTGCTGTTGCTGTTGTTTTTGTTGTTGCTGTCGTTGTCGATGGCTGTCATTGAGTTTCGCATTTCAGAATAAAAATTCAAAAGTGCCGGGCATGTGCAGCAGGGGCAACACACACACACACAACAGTCAGCAGGTGTATGAATGCCTAGTTGTGTGTGTATGTGTGTGTGTGTGTGTGGCATGTTTGTACATCAACGCGCATATAACAAATAAACAAACAAACCAACATATAGTCAAGCAAGAGCAGACTTTTAGCTTGTTGTGTGCGCTTGCAATTGTGAATAACAACAGCAGCAGCAGCAACAACAACAACAACAACAACAACAACATCAGAAACAAAAACAACAACAGCTGTATGAGGCAGCGTAGAACAACAATGTGCTGCAATCTTTTGCAAGTCGCTTCTGCTCTCTGTTTTTCTTTCCTTTCTTTTTACTCAGCTCAGTTGCCTTGCACACGTATTTGCTTTTATTGTTTTTTGCTTTTATTTATTTTATTTTATTTATATTTTTTTTTCAGCTCTGTAGTACATTTTCTTGTACTGCCGCCGCTGCTGCTTCTGCTGCTCTTGTTGCTCGAAAGTGTTGAATGTCTGCGGAAAGTTACAAAGGTGGTGTCGTCGTCGTCGTCGGCGGCGGCGGCGGCGGCGTCGTTTTCCCCTCTCCTTCCCAAGCCCATAGCTATTCACACAACCCTATGCCCATTCGCCAGCCCCATACACAGCCTCAGTTTCAGCCATTGCTTGGGCCGGAGCCTGGGGCACGCTCTTCAACATTTTCTGTGCCGTTTTGCAGTACATGAAGTTTGCATTTTTGTTATACCCTACACCCTTTGCATGCAGAGTGAGGGTATATCATTTTTGGAAAATGCTTATGCGACACATTTCTTCTATAACCAGTAACATTTTAAACAGATTTATTTAATCTAAAACATTAGTTAATGTCGTCTTCTATTGTAGACCTCTAAACATTTTGATTGACATTTTAACCTATTGTCAGATAATAAATATTATAGTAACAGCCATGTAAAGCTTTCTTTTGAACTAATACTTAGACTTTTCAAGAAATTTATAAGCTCAGTTCTATAATAAGCATCTTTTGCTTTGTGCTCTTCCCCGTTCTAGGGCATCCTGAAGCCGACAAGTATAGTCCAAAGTCCTCTTTATTTTATTGTCGTTTCTTGCTGAGCTTCTGGTATTCATAGTCAGCTTCCTGGCACGTTTTGTATTGGGTGTGGCAGGCTCACCCACTCATACACACACACACACACACACACACACACACACACACTGAGGCACCAAAAAATCGAGTCTTGAGTTTTGCTTGTCTTTGGCCGTTGAATTTGCCATTTCAACTTTTTGTTGTGAGGCAGCTCCCACATTGCAGCTTTTCGGTTAGCATAACGCACACACACACACACACACACACACACACACACACACACACACATACAGACATATACATGTATTGTACCTACGTATATGTACATACATATATATAATATTTTCTAAAAGGATTCGAA